CATTACTTATTTACTTTAGCTTTTACTTCATTCGACTATTCCTTCAGCTTTTGTAATTCACGATTTTCTTTTTGGTGTAAATAATTTTCTTCAAACCCTACCTTATTTCACTTTATGTCAACTCTAACTACAAATACTTTTGGGTACTATCTACGTTAGCTACAGAGTTTTAACATTTAAAGGCTCTGGTAGCTGATAAATTACTTCATAACAAGGAGTTCTCATTTTGTATAAATACTGATCTTATTATTATCTTTTGTTTAAAACATAGTAAACTTAAGTATTGTACATGTTTGTTTTCATATAAATTATTTATATACATTTGGTCTGATAATGTAGCAAGTACTAAATGGATAAGAGTTGAATATAAAAGTCAAGATAAAGTCAAGAGTACAGAGATAGAGTGAAAAATTTTCTTAATTTTGCATTTGAGAATACAAGTGAAGATAATATGATATTATGGCCATGTATGAAGTGTGCTAATATCGAGTGGCAAATGCGTCAAATTATTTTTGAACACTTAATTTAAATTGGATTTCTATCAGAATATGTTAATTGATATTTTCATGGAGAGTCTGTACCGTCAAGATTTTCCACTAGAGTTTTTTTAACTTCAAAGGCTCTCAAATAGCAACATGATCTTTTTACAGCAGATGATATTGAAGGCATATTACGAGATGCTTTTAACATTCATAACCAACATTTTTGTAATCTTTTTCCCCAAAATGAAGGATTTAATCAGTCTAATATTGAAATGAATGAATTTGATGAACCTGAGATTGGTGTACGTGACCAACAACCTATAAGAGAAGCATCAAAGTTTTATAGGTTGCTTGAGGAGATAAATGAAGAACTTTTTGCAAACTATGCAACAATATTTTCAGCAAATGGAAGTAGAAAGAGAATAGGAGTGTGCCAAAATTAAGGAAGAATATGCTAGAATGGAGTAAAAGCATGCAAAATTTCAGTAGTTACATGATCGATTCGATCATCTTATGAATTTTATGCAACAACAATTTCTAAGAAATGACCTTGGTGCTCCACCAACTCAGGTATTATATTTAGTAAATATTTAAATTTTTACATATAAAAAAAGCTTACAATGAAGTGTTAAAAATTATATGGTATTATTCAATAGGTTCTTGAACACGCTAGTGATTAAGGTGAAAATTTTTCTTCATCAATTGGCAGCCAGTAAAATGTATGTAGTTATCCATTTCATACATTTTAATTTTTATTTTGTTAATGTATTAAAAATATTTGAATGTTATTATACTAATTATTAAACTTTGTATTAATTAGATGAATATTTAAACGTGAATTAAATTTATATTAATTTCGTTTTTTGAATTTAAACTCTTTTATGAAAATAAAAATTAACAGAAATTTAAAAAAATATATTTTTACATAATGGTGGCGTTTGCGTTCAATAATATCGCTAAATAAATAATTTAGTGACGTTTGTATCATAAAATGCTACTAAAAATAATGGCGCTCTTACTAGCAAACACTGCTAGTTAAATGGCTTTTTTTTATACAAACACCACCGAAGCAATGGCGTTTTTCTCATAAAAATGCCACTAAATTAGTAGCGTCTCAAATATACAATGTTGTTAATATAGAGACATTTTTAGATACAAACACCTCTAAAGTAACAGCATTATAGTTACAAATACCACCAAAGCAACAACATTTTTCTCATAAAAATGTCACTAATTTAGCAGCCTCTCAAAGATAAAAATGTCACTAAAATGACGGCATTTCAGATATAAACGCCGCTAATATTGAGATGTTTTTTCCAAAACACCGCTATTTTTTACGATGCGTGTGTAACCTGCATTCTAACTGACATTTTTTGCAAACGCCGTAAATCTTTTAGTGACGTTTATAAAAGCCATTAAATGTTAAAAAAAATATCACTAAAAACCAAAAGCCCTGTAATGTAATGACAATGATACTTTTGATCAGCAGCAAGGAATAATATTTGATAATGTTCTTCCGATGAGAAAATTCCAATCGACCTTGTCCACTGTAGTACCATATCACATGGCTTTTCAACAATATAAAATTTTTACACATTTTTCTAACATTTGATTTTAATAGGTCAAAAGAATAAAAGAAATAAGTAAAAATAAAAAAAAATGGTTTAATCTCGTTTTTTGAATATACTGAAATCAATGATTAAAAAAATATGAAAAACAAAAAAAATTTTAGACTTTATAAATTGATCCCTCCTCATATATATTTATATATGTAAGTATGTATGTATGTATGTATGTATTTATATATATTTGATCTTCAATTGTATTCCTAGGCCCCTAGTTGAAAAAATGGGGTTCAATTTAGCAATCCTAGTGCTAACGACAATGATACTTTTGATCACCAGCAAGGAATAATATTTGATAATGTTCTTCCGATGAGAAAATTCCAATCGACCTTGTCCACAGTAATACCATATCACATGGCTTTCCAACAATATAAAATTGACGTGACCACTATGGACACAAGGGCATTACTTTCATATAATTCTAAACATTAATGTTCCCTGCTATAACCATATGATAGGATGAGTACTCCTGGTTTCATGTGACTAGAATAACAATAAAATTGCAGAATACATGCATGATTATAATCTAAATAATTTGGGGTTGTTAGTAGTGGTTAATCAAAGTTTCGCTCTTCTTTTTAATAGTAGTGGTAGATTATTCGAAAAAAATTATAATTGTTATGTTCCAAATTCGAGGATTTAAATCATGGCAACACCACAATCCATAGGTTGAACAACAGGAACATGTAAGGATAAACAATATATTTCAAATACTAATTATTCCAAAATTTACATCGAAGTGTCATTAAAACCAAACTCAAGTTTTGAAAATTTCACTTACAAAAAGTTCTCAAAACCGTAACCATAACAACCAAGTCTAAATGTTGGAGTCTAGCATATGACATTATCCTTGCCAAAGTGCACTCTTCCCAAACACAATGCTCAATACTCATTCTTCCATATATGTAAAAATTTTAATAAACGAGGAATTCAAAATCGCAATAAAAATAAAAAATATATCATATTTTTATTTTTTTAATAAATTATTTGAAAAAGCTGAGCTGGAACTTTCCATGGGGGGGATTGGACCAAGTCTAATGAAGATATTAATAAGCTTCAACTTGTCTAAGCCTAATCTGACTAAAAATATGGGCCTCATTTTGGAATCCAAACTCGGCTCATTTCTAAGAGTAGTTGCCAAGCTCGCTTAAGCCCACGCAAATTTTAATTTTTTTCAAATAAAAAACAAAATAAAATTATAATAAATATTAACAATGTCGAAATAAATAATCTACCAGAATAAATTATAAAAAATAATTTTATTAATTGAATTTGGTGTTTGAATGAAATTGGTACATGTAAGCATAAAGTATTAAAGTGTAAACATATATTATTTAATTATTTAATTATGATATCGTAATTTTCAATTTACTTTATATATATATATATATATATGAGAATGGATAAATTTATATAATGTAAAATTTTATAGTTTTCGATTATTGATTCTAATAAATTTAAAAAATAAGAGAGATAAATAAAAATTAAAAAAAGGTTTAATCTGATCAGGATATATTAAAATTAATTATTAAAATAATATATATATATATATATATATATATATATATATAGACACACACACACACACAGAGAGCACTGTCTAGATGGGAATTCAACTACAAAAAATTTATTTTCTAAAAAAACTACAAAAAGTTATGTCCTGATATTTATTTCCTAAAATTTCCTTTGTTTTAAAAAACGTAGCACGTTTTAGACTCCGTTTTATAGTTATTTCTTAATTTACTTTTTAAGTTCTTAAGTTGATAGAAAATTTGATAAAAATAAAATTTTAATTTTAGAACAAAAAAATTTATAATGAATTAAAAATGAACAAATGGCATATACTGTATATATAACGTTAATTCCAATAGAATTATTTTATATAAAAAATAATAAGTTTGCATATATAAAATTAAAATGTAAAATTATAGATGTCCTATTTTCCAAAAAAAAAGATTTTTTGATTTTTTTTTAAAAAATAAATGACATAAGTAGGTTGTCACGCTATATCTTTTGCATAACACACAAAAGTTGTGAAATTACTAACAGATTATTGCTTCACAAAAGAAAAATTATACCATAGTAAAGTTATTAAAATAAGTTAGTGTAATAAAAGACAATTTTATAAAAATCAGACTACTTGTTTAATGATTATGTTACAAAGACGCTTAAATCTTGAATATCAATTAAAATATTTTAATTTATGCATAAATTATTTATAAATTATTTATATTTGTTAATCTATTGGGAAGGCAACCGCTTGCCACACTATTCTTTTTTTAATGGGCATACCAAAACTGTTTGGCGACTCATTTAACCAACTAGATTTTAAACCCGCAGTTTCGTTTACGAAAGTAAAATACAATTGTTTATTAATTAAAATATTAAAAATTATCTAATAAAAAGAATTTTTTATCAATAGTTTTTTGTGGTTTCATTAATTTAGACTGTAAATTATCAGAAAGTTGAAGCTATAATGTAACCATAACAAACATAAATTATGTCTAAGACAAGCCATATGTAATATATAATATTGTCTACTTAGATGCCTGATCATGAAGGTATTTGATTTGCATAAGAAGAGGTGTCTAAGGCAATGTCCAGCCAACTCTTCCCTGTTAAGATCTGCCTCCTTTATCCCACCAGGCAATTTCCAATCAAGCAATACAACAAATTTGCCAGCAAAAGATCTGGTGTAACTGTTCCCATGTATAGCCTGGGCAGCCTCTTCTGCCACCTCCAAATGGCAAAAACTCAAAATGTTGCCCTTTAAAATCAACGCTGCTATCAATAAACCTTTCTGGGGTGACTTCTTCTGGGTCTTTCTAGTACTTTGGATCCCTTGCAGTCGCTCAAACATTGATTTGGATAACTGTTTAAGACAAATGTTGTAACCATTGATTTTGAAGTGTGACATGGCTTTTCTGGCAATCAGCAGTGGTGCAGGAGGGTGCAATAGAATTTCTTTTATAACCATCTTGAGGTATTGAAACTGATCGAGATCGCTTTCTGTTACTCTTCATTTCTTTCCCACAATGCTTCGAACTTTATCTTTGTGCTTTTTTCATCAATCTTGGCTTTCTACACAGCTCTGCCATTGCCCAGTTCACAGTAAATGCGCTAGTGTCCACTCCACCCAAAAACATGTTCGGTAAAGCAAGCATCAGTCAGAGCCAAGCGGAACAAAGCCTCTAATTAGTTTCATAGTAACAATAAAATAGGCATCGGAAAATAAAAAAGTTTCTATCAGTTTGTAACCAGAATATAAGAAATAGTTAATATTTCAAATTCACTATTTTTGGTTGATGATGGATGCTATCAAATTGTGTATGGATTTCAACTGAAACTCAATTTAAAAAAGATTACCAGAAAAAAAAAAAAAAAGGGAAAACCAATAAGATAAGTGAAAGTATTTTGCATGAAATCAGGTCATTTAGTGACAAACCAGAGGAGATTTCACATTTCAGCAGGAACTTATAGCTGTCCTAACAAAGCCATTAGAAGGAAAAATACAGATGGACTAATCACAATTATAACCAGAAGCATATTTATGTTTTCTTGCTAGGCACTTAAAAATTATAACTTCCTCTCAAAGAGATGAGAGATATCACAATAACAGGAATGCGGCCAACTTTTTCTCCTCAGATTGATAGACTACATCAGAAACTTGTAAGCAAGCAAGACATTTCACAAGCCTCATATACCCAAACCAACTTAAGCTCATGAGACTTATCTAACCTAACATATGCACCTCTTCTCATCATACATTTCATTACTACCTTAATTAGTCAACTCAAATGGATTCAATTTTATTACACGGAACTCAGTTAGAAATTAACACGAGCCCTTATTTTAAAATAAAAAGAAAGAAGAAAGTTAACCAAAAGTTTTCCATGGCCGTCACAAAACCACAAAATAATTCTACAAAGGACACTGTAATCTATCATTTATCTACATTATGTATTACCAACGGTAAATAATAGCGGTTGAAAATTGAATTGAAAACTTTGTCAATTCCACCATCCTACGAAAGGATGCCTCTTCTAAAACTTGAATGCCATTATATTGCTATCACTAATTCATACTCAGGCCTAGAAGGCATATATTACCTTGTCACTTAGTGATTCTCTCAACCTCCTCAATGCTTCAAATTCACTACCTCTAAACGGAGTTAATTCATCTTGCACAAGGAATCCCTTTTTTATAAAGATTTCTTTAAAACAAAGCTACATTTCTGAAACATTGATAGCTCCATACTTGATCCTTTTCCACATACCCTAGTTCCTTTAGTGTTGGAACGTGTAAAATCTTACAACTTCCAACATCTTCAACAGGAGGAATTGAAGGAAGGTCAACCAAAAGTGGTGAAGATGCTCATGAGGGTTCCCCAGCAAGCTTTAAAAAGGACTGATAACTCAGTGGTGGCCTTCCCCCATTCTTTTTGTTGACATTAGTTGCATTAAGGAAAAGTAGCAATCAATTAGTAGACAATAAACAAGATCTTTGATAGCCAAAAAAATGACACCCTTGACACACCCAACTTCTTGCTTACCTTTTCTATAATATCTGCAGGATTGAAGAGTGTATGACTCACTGGAGAGAAAACCTCGACTCCAGCTGTAGCAGCATGAGTCTGTTGAAACAAAAGGCAACATTTAATTTGATATACCAGCAAAATTTAAGAATCTAAAGGAAAGCTAACATAATGTTCTTCCAAGAGAAAAAAAATGTAGTCTTATCTTACCTTAACTTTATTATCCAAAGCTTGATAATATGGATCAGCGTCGTACTCAAAGCAAAGCTTTTTCACATCCCACTACCAAAAACCTATAAAACAAACAAACATTATTAAAAAAAATTTAAAAAAAAAGACTTCGCCCTATCTTAACTTTTAACCTAACAAATATATATAAATATATATTACGAAAGAGAAATCACCTTTTTTAAGCAGTGAATCAAAACCTAACTAGGATCATCCTTCAACAACAACAATCTCGACCCAAGTTTTTTCAAACTTAAGTCAAGGTCTTACAGGCTCTCCAACAAGAACTGGATTCTGTTTATACCCACCGATTCAATAAAAAGGGTTCCAGCCATCAATAACAGAAGAAAAATCACACCAGCCACGAAACGGTCATGATTTGGCCAAGTTTTGATTCTCTTCTTTGTTTTTGCTAATCCTTCATGAGCGTTTAGAGAAGTTCCTCGCTTGAAGTTTTTGAGAAGCTTACGGAGAAAGCTTGTTTTTTCTCAGCTCAGAGACTTGCTTGAAGTTGTTAGAGAAATTCTAAAAAAGCTCCTTTTCCATAATTATCCTTGGCTTGATTTTATTTACATTGCTTAACTTTTCCTACGGTATATATTAGAGACGGCTTTTATATATAATATAAATTAGTCAATCATAGTTACAGACCAATTGCATCGTCACAGGTAATATGCCAATGTACATATTTTCTTTTCATAATTGAAAATTAGTTTTCTGTCAATAATTGAAAAGTATACTAGTTCAATTGATTGATTTGGACTGAAGCAGCAACCTGTCATTGAGCTGTAATGTTTTATTTAGACTTGTCAATTCGAGTTTGTACTAAAAAAATTGGTCTAATCTGTCCAAAAAAAACAATATCATCATAAAAAGTTGATAAATTAAATCTATATAATCTGAAATTAAAAGTAATTTAAATTTAAAATAAATTAAAATTAAAATGATTCAAAAAAATTATCTTAAAATAATTTAAGCTTAAATTAAATATAATTTTATTTTAAAAACATTAATTTAATAAAATAATAAATATGGCACAAATTATTAATTATTTAATTTTAATTTTCAAATTATTTTTAAAACCTTCTTTATTATACAAACCTATTTCTATTATTTTAATATAATTGAATGTAATTTTTATATTTATTAAAAAGATTATAAAAGAGTTTTATTTTCCTTTTTATTTTTATAAATAATTAGATAAATTGATAACAATTTAATCATTTTAAAACAAAATAATTAACACTAATTTAATACAAACTAATTATAACATTCACTTTAAATATTTACTATAAGTTTGTATAACAAAATCATTACTTTTAAAAAATCTAAAAACCAAGAAATTTTTCAGTTATCAATTAATCAAATATAAATTAGAGCATCATAATAAGCGGATAAAGGCAAAGTTATCAACCCTAAGGTCTAAGACTTATAAATATCTTGTATTCGAATTTTCTAGTTTAAACTCATTAGTTAATAATTTTATTTTAATGACAATGCCGTAGGCATATGGCATATACATACATATAGACTATAGAGTATAGAGATATAGTCCCATAGGCATAATAACCGGTCTGCTATTTAGGATCACGTGGTTCCAACCCACATTATATATTTGGTTATAAAATAAATTAAATTTAAGATGGATGTTGACATATTATTATATTTGCACTAAACAGTTTTTTGGCGGTATTTTTTTTAGGCGTTTTATTCACAAATGCCACGAGCTTCCGCAATTTAAAAATGATAGAGGCGTCACGGGAGTAAACGCTGCTAAATTTTAAAATAGTGACGTTTGTCAAAGTGAAGCTGCTATTTGTGGGTAAAATCGTCATTTTATTTTCAAAATTATTTTTGTATTTTTAATTATAAACAAGTTAAATATGTAAATTTACGGACGTTTACATTATAAAACACTGAAAAAATTTTCAAAAAATCTAATAATCGACCTCCTATTTCATTTATCTAGTTCCCACTCCTTTCTTTCTTTCCTTTATCCTCAGGTTTTCAGTCTTTCGTCCCTTCCGTTTCTCTCTTTTCCTTCCTTCACTTTGTCCTTTCTTCCCGATCATGTTGCTTTGAAATTTGAGATAGTTGTCAAGAAACATGCGTACACTAATGATATCTTATCAATATATGGTATGTCTGGCCTCTCATCATTTTATTAATTATTCATTTGTAAAGCTGGTGCGTTTCTTGCATCAAGCACATTGGCTTCTATATACTTGTATATTTATTAGACAATTGAAATATTTAGATATTTTATAATATTTAATTAATGAAATTAAATTTTGTGTGTTTTTATAATATGTTTCAATTTTAAATGTAATTGTAATAAAAATAAAAAATTTTATTTATCTCAAATGTTATGTTTTGCAACTACATATATAAAAATTGATATTCATAATTTAGTTGTATTTAATTAGATAAATGCTGTTAAATATTGTATTTAATGATTTTTTTTAATAAATGCTGTCAAATTGAAATATTTAATGACATTTATCCAAGAAAATGCTGATAAGAGTTGCAAAATAGCTGAGTTTCTTATTACAAATGCCATTAAATATGCAAAAATCTTATATCTCAATTTTTATGTCAAAGCGTTTATAAAACGCTGCTAATTATAAAAAATGACGTTAAGAAAACGTCATTAGAAGTCTAATTTTCTGTAATTATAATTGATTTATTAGGTAATATTTTTGTTTTAATAATAATATATTCATCATATGATTCATATCATAATTTATATAGATGATTCATGTGGGCATATTAGTTTATTACATTTATATGGCTCATGGTTGGTAATTTGGTGGTAGTCTACTAATGTTCGGCTTAAGAAAATTGATAATCTTTTGACAGTTTGAAACTCTTTGGTCAGAATTTAAATTTTAGATGATTTTGTTGGATTTGATTAAAAGTGATCAAATAACTACAATAAAATATTAAGAGAAAATATTTTAATTTAATAAAAAAATAAAATCACATATTTTTCATTAATATAAAAAAAAAACTTTAATTTAAAGCATATGAATTACATTATAACAATGTTTATATTTATTTTTAAATATTATATTTTTTATTTTTATTTTTAATAAAATTTTAATAAAATTTGACTTAAACTCGATCAAGTAATTTTTTTAAATTTAATATGATTTAATTATAAAATATTTAAAAATTAAGCTCAAAATTATCCAAATTGAATGACCTAAACTCAAACAATCTGAATGCCAAACTCTAAATACCCGAATAAAAAATGGCTCAAACCAGAAACGACTCAAAACTAAAATAAACCTTAATGAATTAATTTGAAACTAAAATAACATGAACTCAAAATTATCTAATTTTTTTAATGTTTGAAATATTTCAAATTAAATTGTTCCGAACTAAACCTAATCCAATCTGCCTAATTGACAGGAATAGACTTTTGATTATTATTTAAAAAAAAGGCATATTTACGTTGTCACATAAATGTTGATTGCATCCTTTTCAAATACAGTTGTTTTTATTTTTTTAACAATTTTCTGTTTGCTACTGTCATTTTCTTGGTATCACTTTTTCATTTCTAATTATAAAATTATAGTTTTCATTTAGTGTTAGATAAATTAATTCCTAGCTTAAGATTTATATTTTGGAGCGAAAAGAGTTTTTGGGAACTCAACTTAATAAATTGGTGTCCCGATAACTAATACGATTATATCTATGGTTCAAGGGAAACTTCGTGATCCTCCCCTTCAACACTGAAGATCCTCCTGGAAACAACGGCTAGAAAATTGTATTGTTGGCGCATATCTATCTGTACTCAGGTGCGAATCACACAATCGTTCATGGAGGCGTGAACACAACAAATATGTCGTTCAATGAGAAATTGGTGGCTAAGGTTTCGGATTTTGGGTTGTCTAGAATAGGCGCCACGAACATGTCCGAGGCCCATGCTAGCACCGTAGTGAAAGGCAGCTTTGGGTATTAGGATCCAGAGTTTTTCGGCCCTCAAAAATTTACAGAAAAATCTGATGGATATTCATTTGGAGTGGTACCATGTGAGAGATTGTGTGCTGGGCCACCAATTAGTCGCACTGTCTAGAAGGCACAGGTATGCTAAGCATCATGGGCCCAACAATGCCATGAAATGGAACTATTTACAAAAGCATTGATCCATTTTTGAGTGGCAAGATTGCGCCCGAGTGTTTGAAAAAATTCACAGAAGTGGCAATGAGTTGTTTGCTTGATGAAGGAATCGAAAGGGCCATCCACAGGAGATGTCTTGTGGAGCCTAGAGTTCGCACTACAATTGCAAGAAACGGATGAGGAGGGGCTTAAAAACACTATGGATTGGAAGATGACTGGGGGAAGTGTTCAGTAGCATTGGTGATCATCTTCTGAATTACGAGAGCAATAGTACTTTCAGCTTAACAACAGGTGATGAACAAAGTTTTGTTAGCAAGGATTCTGATAGACTCACGTTATGAGCAGTGTTTGACGATGATAAAAAACTTGAAGATGGTAGATTAGGAATACTGAGAGTTTGGGTGAGGACCATGTAAATGGTCCTACTTCAATTAAGAAAAATCCAATGGTACTTATTTATAAATTCAAGGAAAAATTATTTGTATGGTAGCATCATTAATATTAGATTCCAAGGTGGGTTTATGTACCACATACATATTTAATGTCTATGACCAGCTAGTTGTATTATTTAAGAAGGGTGTTAATGATTGTGGTAGTTGGAACCTCGAACTGCTTAAATCAATGCTAAACTTTGACCGTTCTGCCAAAAGAAACAAATCGATAAAAATCTCTTTTTTTTTTTTTTTGGGGGGGGGGGGGGGATTTTGCTACCTCAATACCTTAAAATATTCTTTAAAATTATCATGTTAGGCAAATTTTTTTTTTAGGTAAATATAGTTTTTTAATTCATTAAAATTATCAAATTAATTATCAATTATTGTATTTAATATTTAATACTATTATAGATAGTATATTAACTAATCTTAAATAATGTTTTTAGGGCACTCGTTAATTCTATGCAAA